GGGATAAACAGGCAGAGCACAGAGGAAGTTCAGGGGAGTGAAATGCGCTGTGTGACCCCATAATGGTGGATATTTATCATTATACATTTCTTCAAACCCATAGAACGTGCAGCCCCACGAGTGAAACGGGAGGTAAACTATGGATTCCAGCTGATACGATGCATCCATGTAGGTTCAACCTTCATAACAAATGTACCATCTGGTGAGTGATGTTGGTAATGGGGGAGGCTGTGCGTGTCTGGGGGCAGGGCATACATGGAACATCTCTCTACCTTCCTTGCGATTTTGTTATAAACCTAAAACTGCTCTAAAAAATAATCTTAAAAAATTATATGAGATTCAAAGTTCAGTGTCCACAAATAAATAACAGCCATGCCCATTCGTTGCATACTTTCTGTGGCTGCTTTCACACCTCAGGGACAGAGACCCGGCCGTCGAAGCCTGAAGTATGTGGTGTCTGGCTCTTACACAGAGCGCTCGCTGCCCCTACGCTGCTAAATGTAACTGATAGGCAAGTACCTTTCCTATGCCACCCCAATGTCACGGGGCACGCATCTATCCCCACTTTGTTGAACCCTTCCCCCCAGGGATCTGCAGGGAATGGGCCAGTGTTCCCTGAGGAGTGTGAAAATGCAGCTTCCTGGTGAAGCTGCCCAAATGACATGCCTATAATGTCTGGCCTTCCCTTTGTGCTTTTCTTATTATTAATAACTAGCTAATTACAATGGTATCAGAAGTACAGAGAAGCAAGTCTTATTCAAAGTCACCCTCAACATGTGGCAGAACTGGGGTTTGAACTCAGCTAGGTTCGGTGCCTTGACTCCGCTGTCGTGCCGCACAATAGAGGGACGATAAAACTTGCAAGTATAGAACTCGTAGTTACACAAACACACCAGGAGAAACAACCTCCATAATTCAGCTCTTTTTTTCAATCCTCACCTGAGGATATATTTTCATTGATTTGAGAGACAGAAGAAGGGAGAGAGGGGGAGAGAGAAGGAGAGGGAGAGGGAGAGAGAGAAAGAGAGAAACATCTATGTGAGAGGGAAACAGCTATGTGAGAGAAACAGCAATTGGTGCCTCCTGCACACACCCCAACCCAGAGATCAAACCCGCAACCTAGGTATGTGCCCTGACCGGGAATTGAACCCACAACCCTTTGGTGCCCAGGGTGATACTCCAACCAACTGAGCCTCTGGCCAGGGCTCAACTCTTTCCATTATACTTTACAGTCAGCGCATACGCCTCTCACTTAGTTCTGTACTGTCCCTGAGCAGCGGTTACTGAATGAAGAGAAATTTCCACTTCTTTGGCTTTCTCTATATGCCCTTCATAATTTCTAAGGATGAGTATTTATAATTCTCCTTTTATGCAATAAGACTTTTGCCACATGGGAAGCCATCTGAGGCTGTGTCCTGTGGGCTGGGAATAAAGGCTGCTACCTGACTTCCTGCTGCACAGGACCTGGTGTCCAGCACAGAGGCAAGTTCTGGGGCTGCTGACACTGAAATTTTAATGGCTGTGTAGAAGTTGGGGCCTCTAACAACCCCCAAGCAATCTCATCCAACAGGCCGGTCCAGATCGGCCTTGCCTCACTCAATTTCCCTTTCAGAGGACGAGCGGCACCAGCTGCCAGGCGCCAGCGTCGGTCCCAGGGAACCATCGTGTTTCTAATCGGAGTTTGGGCCATGATGCCATCCCTCTGTCTGCCCATCAGGATCAGTTCCTTCCTGTGTTGTGTTGTTAAAAGGCCCTGGACATCAACTGGTTTCCAATGAGATTTGGCTCCCCAGGGAACTGGCTCACAGGTTTTAGTTTATTCCTTTTGGAATTTAGAGGGGAGTTCATTCCTGTAGCAGAAGGCTACATAATAATTCTCTTACTTTTTAAAAAATATATATTTTTATTCATTTCAGAGAGGAAGGGAGAGGGAGAGAGAGATAGGAACATCAATGATGAGAGAGAATCATTGATTGGATGCCTCTTGCTCACCCCCTAATGGGGATCGAGCCTGAAACTATGCCCTGGCTGGGAATCGAACTGTGACCGCCTGGTTCATAGGTTGACGCTCACCACTGAGCCACATCAGTTGGTCTCGCTTTCTTTTTTTAAGCAGCCACATGAAAAACTTAAGCATATGGAATGCTCTAGACCTTGATTGGAGTAATGGTCTATGAGTATATACATTTGTCAAAGCTCAACCAACTGTATGCTTGAGATCTGAGCATTAGAGGAAAATGCATGAAAACTAGGTTTAAAAAAAGTCAAAGTAGTTACTTATGGCACCTGTCTGAGGCTGGTTAAATCCAGAATTACTCTTTAGTAATCACTTCTGATCCTTTAGATTTCTTGAATCCCAGATCAAGGTACCACCTTGTGGGAGGCTTAGACTTATTTCCTCTACTTTGTATTCTGCATTTATTTGAAAGCAGGCATTCTAAGGCCACATAAGGATAACCGATACTTATCCCTGTGAATAGTCAGTGTCAGAAAGGGAAGCTTCATCTTTGAGTCTCTGTATTATGCCGCACTGAATTTATAATTAAACTAGAGGCCTGGTGCATGAAATTCGTGCACTGACGGGGAGGTGACCCTCAGCCTGGCCTGTGCCCTCTCACAGTCTGGTAGCCCCGTGATTGATTGCCCCAAAGAGGTAGGCCTCGCCCACCCGGCCAGGGCTCCGCGATGCATTGCCCCTGCAGAGGGAGGCCCAGGCTACCTGCCACAGCACCGCTGGTCGGTGGCCTGAGCCTCCCTCTTTGGGGCGATCTTGGAGCCCCCCAGTTGATTGCCCCGCCTGCTGGTGGCCTGGGCCTTCCTCTGCAGGGCGATCATGGGGCGATGGCTGGGCCCATGACCAATTGCATCGCACCCTTCTTGACTGGCCTGGCGCCAGTGGGTGTCATAGCATGATCATCTGGACAGTCATTCTGCTGTTCGGTCGTTCAGTCAATTTGCATATTATGCTTTTATTATTATTGATAAAGATAGAAAAATCTACCTGGGATAGGGACAGTGAATTTATTTAGGGCCCATTTCCTCCAGCTTGTGGGGAGAGTAAGTGTAAAGATAAGAACTATAACTTTAAAAAGTTTTTGGTTCAATCATGCATCATGTCTCCAATACAGATTTCTAGCCTTGGATATAAATATTTCAGGATCAGATGCTTTCATCTCTCTCTGCCTTGCAAGAAGAGAAGATTGGAAACAATCTTCCTTAAGTAAAGTAGCTTTAATCATTGTTTCTCAATCAGCTGAGCTGTGTTGGAAAAAAAAGATGTACGAATCCTATAATCCCTGGTTTAGTGGTAATGAAATTGTCCAGGCTGAGAAAGGAACAGATGGATTTTGATTAATTTCTACTAAGACCAGCAAGTATCAACCTCAATATTCTTTATAAACTTGTCAGGGTAAATGTTATAAAGTCGTGAGAGGATGGAGACAAAAAGATATAAAATAAACATGAGCTTATAACTGGGTTGTGGATAGTTAAAGGGGGATATACTTAAAACACAACACATCAAAATTTGGATTCATTGAATCAGGACAATCTTTTTAGATTTAATCCCTTAAAGAATAAAATAATTTTTTTGTATTTTTCCCCCAAGAGAGGACCCATTGCCCTAGGTATCCAGTGAAGTGGGCATCACACCTGATGGGGGGCAGCAGTAAGAGGAATGCAAAGAAGATTCAGAGAGCTGGGAGGCTGAACCTCAGGTTCAACATGTATGATTTCAGGGTGATAATTGAAAACAAAGATGAACTTTACCAAGACGTAATTTGGAATGAACTCAGACAACCCAGTTGCCACAGTTCATCAGTTTTATGGTTGATATTTAGGGCACTGAGGGGCAAGTTCTCAGCTTCCCCTGTCCTCTGCGGGACTTCTCCCTCCTCCCAGCTGTCAAAGGCCCAGCTGCCTAGGGGGCGCAGAGAGATCCAGAGGCATAGAGATTTAAATTTGGCATTAACCTGAAATTAGAACTGAAGATTAAAGAAAGGCCAAAAATAAAATATCTGAGTGACATTGGTCTCACACTTGCTAGGGTATGAAGTGTTTACCTCCAACAGAAAATCAATAACTGCTTGTTTTAGGTTTAAGAATACTTCTGTCTGGTGGTGCCTTCTTCCCAGCATAATTTACTGTGCCCATTTCATTCCGCCCAGTCAGGAGATGGTCGTGAGGAAAGATAGTAAGAAGCTAGAGAAATTCCTTGGCAAGTGGAATGAGGGAAACTGAGACAAATAGTTAATAGCCTGCTAATAAATTGCAACATCTTTTTGTTGTTGTGGTTAATCCTCACCTGAGGATATTTTTCCATTGATTTTTTTAGAGAGAGTGGAAGGGAAGGGGAGAGACAGAGAAAAACATTGATGTGAGAGAGACATATCAATTGGTTGCCTCCTGCACATGCCCCAGCCAGGGCTGGGGATCAAGCCTGCAACCTAAGTATGTGCCCTTGACTGGAATTGAACCCGGGACCCTTCAGTCCGCAGGCCGAGGCTCTATCCACTGAGCAAACCCGGCTAGGGCTACCCTCATTTTGATGCATTAGCATATTAACGAACACACCTGGAAAGCTGCTGAATATTCTTTTGAGATCCTTCCCTGAGACCTCCTGTAAAATTCCCGCCTTTAGAAAACAGATAAGAACCGTAAGACAAAAGATGCCCCAGTGGGTGCTCTTTCTCGAGCACCAGAGACCCCTCCTTTCCTCAGGCATGTAGTTTTGCTTTCTTTCTCCTAAGCTCTAAGGGTCCCCATGAGACTTGCAACCAGGGGAGCAGCGGGCAGTGGCTGCTCATCCCAGGTTAACCCTCTGAACCTGTCTTCAAGGGCCATCCTTTATCTGCTGTAACTTGTTTCTTGAGTCCAGGCAGCCCAGTGTGGCTCACTTCCTCAGGCTTATTTGTACCAATAGCACAGAAGGACATCAGTTCTATGTAGACAGTAGCCCAGGGATCCATGTGATCCATCCTCACATCAGCAGACAGCGGCCTCTACTGTGGAGCCTGTATGGGGGCCTGGGCATCTTTGGGAGCCGGAGCCTGAGCCGAAGTCAAAGCCCGGGGCTTGGTGTCAGCGTTGGCCTTGGACTTTGGCTGGCAGAGCCCGAGACCCTTGGTGATGTGGACCCGAGCACATTTCTCAGGCTTGGTGAGCAATGTAGGCAGGTCGACGGAGCTATGGTTGTCACCCTTTGGGATCTTGGGCTTGACCTCCTTGGGCTGCACGAGAGCCTGGTTAGCCTCAGGATGTGCGCTCATGGCCTTGGCGTTGTTGGCCTGCATCTTCAGGCTCTTCTTGCTGTGCTTCCTGGCAGAGCGCATGCTCCCCAGGAACTTGGGGTCTACCCCTTTAAGAGATTTGTATCTTCGCCATCGGGGTTTCTTGTTGCTGTTACTGGGCCATTTTCGGGACTGGTTGTGTGTTGTGTGGTTCTTGTACTCGGCCCTGTCTGCACCGAAGCCTGCGGCTCCCAAAGCGCCTGGGACCAGAGGAGAAAGAGAGCGTGGCTCCCTCCTGTTCCCGTGGCTCCTTCGTGCGTTGGCTGGCCCACTCTGTGCTCACTCCTGTTGCTGCGATCTTGCCTCTTCTATCTTAAGCCTTTTCTTTGTTCCACTGTCCCCATCTTTAATAATGTGCTTTCAGAATCACCTGGACTCGGGCCGTGAAACCTTTCCTACATTAGGCCAACAACCCACACGTTCCAGACCATGAGTTACAGACTGAGAGCTGGCTGAGCACATAGAACCCTAACTATATCCTTGAATATCATCAATACTTAACACACTGCCAATTAAAGGCAGGATTCATCATGAAAAATCCTCATTTCTCTTATAAAAACAAAACAAAACAAATCAAAACAAATTCCAGCCTTGCTTTTCAATACTGGGAGCCAGAATGCAATCCTCATGAGAACATAGGAGACATGTTCTCCCCTTCACAGACGCCAAGTGGGGTTTACACGGAGGAAGGTGATGGTTAGTAACGGAGTGTGACAGTCAACAAGTCAGGCATCAATCCTGCACTCGATACTCTAGAGCAGTGATGGCGAACCTATGACACGCGTGTCAGAGGTGACACGAGAACTCATTTTTTTGGTTGATTTTTCTTTGTTAAATGGCATTTAAATATATAAAATAAATATCAAAAATATAAGTCTTTGTTTTACTATGGTTGCAAATATCAAAAACTTTCTATATGTGACACGGCACCAGAGTTAAGTTAGGGTTTTTCAAAATGCTGACACGCCGAGCTCAAAAGGTTCGCCATCACTGCTCTAGTGCTTCCCTGCTGTTATCTTGTCATCTTAGCTGTGACTTGGAAATAGGATCTGCTTAGGGACAAGGGCGCTTCATTCACTAATGTTGAAACAGGCTCTTTGGGAAATCTGACCCAAGGATCATGATTTTAACTTGACAGTGACCTCCTGTCCATTTCCTGTCTTTCAGGGATGCAGGTAGAAGAGATGGGGGCCTCGGTCAGGGCGCTGGCCAAAAACAACCAGGGCCATCTACGCCATTACGCATGGCAGTAGGCTCAGTGCCTAGGCCCCTGATACATTGAGGAGCACATGAAAGTGTTTTAATGTCTTTTTAAATATGTTTTTTATTGATTTTAGAGAGAGAGGAAGGGAGAGGGAGAGAGAAACATTGATGTGAGAGAGAAGCATCAATCAGCTGCCTCCTGCATGCCCCCTCCTGGGGATTGAGCCCCTGACCCAGGCATGTGCTCTGACCCGGAATCGAACTGGCAACTTCTCGTGCATAGGACAACACCCAACCAACTGAGCCACAGTGACCAGGGCAAAAATGTTTTAATTTCTTTCAAAATCAGAAGAAAAACATGGTTACAATCCTGCCTGGATTATATTCATCTTTATATCAACACAGTCACAAGTGTAATTTTTAATAATTTTTTATGCAGGAAGGAGCTCATGGAGGTAGAAATGCTGAGTGGTCACAAAACTCATCATGTGAATCTGGAAACGGATGGCAACTCGAAGACTTTAACTGAAGAGAATAAATCAAAGGGGCTCTTTGCAAAAGTGTGGTTGGGTTAAGAAAAAACAATAAGAAGTAGTGAAGTGCCCAGGGCCCAGCAACCATGGGATCCATCATGACCGTGGGGCCTGAATCGACAAGGGCAGAGACCACTGGCCAAACCCAACCAACAGTCAGCGTGGAAGGTAGCCCAGAGGCTCAGTCCATATAGGCCGGACTTGTGGGGCACAGAGCAGGGCAGACAAGAGCAAAAACTAGATGGGGTGTGCCGGAAGCCGGTTCATTCTTGCTGCTTGACACAGTCGCTGCAGGGAAGAAACATCTGCACAGCATATGTTTCAAGGGACCTGGTATATGGCATATACTGTTCTTAATATGTTTGCTCCCCTTCTTAGCGCTATGTGTTTTAACCAAGGTCACCTCTCCGAGAAAGGTTGTTTCCCCAGGTGGGGATTTTTCCCTAGAGTTAGGGATTAACAGGACTAAGGAAGGGAATAAAACCCCTTAACTAAGTGCCAGGCGGGTAATTAATCACTTTAACTATGAACAATCACTTAGGATAATCTCCTTCAGTTACTTCCTTGTAGCTTAACAGAACAATAGAGTAGTGACTTTGGAATGGAGATAACAAACGCCCTAACCTTTGGAATAGAATGGATAGGATTAAAATCAACTGGTATAAATACAGATGTAACAGGACAATAAAGACCGAACCTGGCTGGAGAACGTGGCTAGGCTGTTGATCAACTGAACACTGTCTCCGTGTCATTCCTTCTTTGCTGACTCCATCCACACCTTTGGGAACCCCTGGATCTGTTAGGGTTGGACCCCAACATCTGGCGCCTTGGGTCATGAACACAGAATAACCAGTACTGGACTCAGATTCTCACCACTCCCTGTTTCTAGAGTTTTCAAGTGGGTGTAACTCCTGCCTTTGTGTAGGATTGGTAGGGTCTAGGCATGGATTATAGAAGGAGGAACTTATTTTCTGTTTCAAAATGAAAAAAAAATATATACCCCACACCAGATTTCGAAAGGAGAGTACCCCATCAGGTGGCAAGTGTCTCAGCCTTTCTTGCCCATTGGCTTTATTCAGAAAGCATCTGTCTTTGAGGATTTAGGTTTCCTATTCCTTTCACAATCAGGGTTCAGTCTCCTGTTCTAGTCCAATGAGGGGACAGGCTGGAGAACTGGTCAAGAAAAGCCTTTTGAATCAGACTGCCTGGCCCAGTTTGGTTATTAATTAGCTATTGAGTCCCTGTGCCTCAGTTACTTTGTCTGTAAAGGTAGGACAATAGTAGGGCATGCTTCATAGGATGGTGGAAAGATTAAATGAAATAATAGATTGAATGAAAAAACATTTATACAGTGCTTATTATGAGCTAAGCACCATTCTAAGTGCTTCATGTATGTTGACCCATTTAGCTGCACAGAGAAAAGCAAAGATGAAAACACAAAGAAAGACAAGCTTGTGATGGTATTATTTGAGAATCTGCATATGGCTGTGCTTGACACTAAACTGCCACTGGATTTTTCACATCTGTGAGTCAATAAATATTCCTTAATTTTTGAGGGGTCTTAGCCAGTTAAATTGAATTTCTGCCACTTGCAACCAAGACAGTTTCAATAAAGTGATGATATAGATATGTATATGTACACACATGTGTGCACATTGTATATATTTGCATATGCATAAATATACATTCATTAGTTAAATACATCAAGGAAAGTTATAGAATGCATAGGCAATTTCTCTGAGCTTTTGGGGATGCTTCTTCAGAGAATCTTCCATTAAAACTTGTTAGTACTACGCCCACTTAATGGAGGAGGATGGGAAGATCCAGAGAGCTGGGGTACCTTTCCCAGGCACTTAGCTGATGGTTGAGTGAGCTAGGGCTCGAACCCAAAGACCGCGTTCTTTCTCACAATAGGCTTCCTCTGCTTGTCATTCTCAGAGCGCAGGGATGGGTGGACCCTGGGCTTGAGCCAGTGTGGTTTTCGCCACCCTCTTTTATTTCATAGGAGGTTGGGGTGGCTGCTAGAATGCAAAGGATGATGAGGTCAGAACTGTGGCGATGAACACAGCTCATGATTATAAGTGAGCTCCACGCATCAGTTTTGAAAAGGCAACCGTCTCTCCTACAGATGACTGAACCCGGAGGCTTTCCTCCACCGGCTGCCACACTGTGCGTGCATTTGCAGCAAAGCTTTCCTCATTTACTTCTGTGGAAACTGACAGAGTAATTGTCTTACTATGTTATGTGCTTTGGCAGCAATAGAAGTGGGGCCCACAGGTCCAAATCTAGAAGCCAATCCCTCTTTTTAATGATTCCAGTTTGTTAACACTCTTCCTGCCCTATGGGAAGAAAAGGCAGGTCATAGTGGTAGGTGCAGGTGGGTAGATGGGAGGGGAGTAGATGGTACTTCCAGGGCCCAGAGCCTACAGTCTCTGGCTCCTCCCAGGGTGGGCCTGGGACAGGAGTGGGGCCGATGAGTCCAGAAGCCACTCCTGCAGGCTCCAGACTCTGAAGGATTCTGCCTTCAATTCAGCCTTTCACAGGCCCTTCAAATCAGGAATGAAGAATGAAGGAACACCCTCAGACCTTGTCAAGCCAAGTTCCCATCCCTTGGGGCAAATATCAGATGATTCCCTGTGACCCTCTTTCTGACCTTCCTCAGGCCCAACTGCTTTCTATGTCCTGTCGGCTTCCACAGCTTTAACAGAACACTCATTATATCTTTCCCTAATACTTTAGAAATTATTTCCCTCCTTATAATATAATTAGAGGCCCGGTGCACAAAAATTTGTGCACTCGGGGGAGAAGGGGGGGTCCCTCAGCCCGGCCTGTGCCCTCTCGCAGTCTGGGACCCATCGGGAGATAACGACCTGCTGGCTTAGGCCTGCTCCCGGTGGCAGAGGGCAGGCCCAATCCCTAGGTGCAGCCCCTGGTCAGGCTCAGAGCAGGGCTGACTGGGGAGTTGGGGCGCCACCCCCTGTCATGCACAGAGCAGGACGGTTTGGGAGGTTGCAATGCCACCCTCAGTCACGCTCAAGGTAGGGCCAATTGGGGGGTTGGGGCACCGCCCCCTGTCACACTCAAGGCAGGGTCGATGGGGAGGTTGCGGCGCCACCCCCTGTCACGCACAGAGCAGGGCCAATCAGGGGGTTGGGGCGCTGCCCCCTGTCACGCACAGAGCAGGGCCAATCAGGGGGTTGGGGCGCTGCCCCCTGTCACGCACAGAGCAGGGCCAATCAGGGGGTTGGGGCGCTGCCCCCTGTCACGCACAGAGCAGGGCCAATCAGGGGGTTGGGGCGCTGCCCCCTGTCACGCACAGAGCAGGGCCAATCAGGGGGTTGGGGCGCTGC